ATTCGATCGTGTAGAGGCAAATTGTAGCGCTCTCGTCGATTGTCAAGCCATCGGGTGGTCGTTCTGCAGTTTCGTCCAATGCTAATTGAACGTAGAACGATATATTGTGAACGATCTCAGTCAGCGGTGCACATGCTTTGTAAAAAGGTAACAAACGCTCGTCGGCGTATCCCACAATAGGACCAAGGTCTGCTCTAATATCGTTGATGTGTATCTTGATGTTAGAATTATTAAATTATTCAGATGAAGCACACAACTGTTCCTCATAAGTTCAAAACACTGTTAAATACCTGTGATGAGGTTTGGTCCGCCAAAATGAACAGCAAATAGACAATTCTCGTTTGTTAATTCACATTCGTTTAATAATGTGGTAACTAACAAAGGTACATGCTCAAATACACAAACAAGCAATTGTTTATCTAGATACAAATGTATATAACCATTATTATATTCTTGTAATAATGCAAGATCGAACTATTTCGAAACAGAACAACTTCACTGATCAATCACTGATAAATTTGATTTCTTCTGTGAAAAAATAGCCACACAATCTGAATCTCGAAACAATGCAAAACCAATAACATTTTGTTTCTCAATTAGTTTTCCTGCTTTATACTGTACGAATTGATTGAGGACTGTGCAATGGTGAAACTTTATCCCCAACACAGCACAAACTCATGTCCGATCAATTACTATAATTCCTCAACACAACTCGTAGAATTTTGCCAATTACAGCAGAGTTTTGTGAAGTTTAACAAAATTATGCAAGAATATTTTTACCACTCTCACAGATTTCGCAGAATTTTGCCAAATAGATGTGTTTTACACAGTCATGAATTGATTACCTATGAATTGATTCGATCGTACAGCGCAATCTAGAAGTAAAACAACGTTCATCTTGCAATGCAATATCATGACACAGACCAGTTAAGCGAAATCCGGTTAACAGCTTGTCCAAGCGTGACACTGTGACATTTTTGGCACAGTAATTTGAGCTTTTCTCAAAAAGTGTAAGAGCTAGAAACTTCGTTCTTGCGCCGTTCGACGCAACTGGCCATACTCTACTTTTGCTGTAAAAATGAAGGTATGTGGTTAAAGACTCGAATTTTTAGAACCGTTTTCCGGCGCGTGACGCTATGACAAAAAAAGACCCTAAATTCAGGACGCTGAGTTACCTATAGAAACGTTCGTACATCACATACCTTCTTCCTCACCCGAATCTTTTAATCCAGTCGGTAATGAATGAAGATTTCATGAGAGTAAGGGTGGGTGATCCTTGCAATCTTCATTCGTTACCGGCTAGATTAAAAGCTTCGGGTGAGGAAGAAGGTATGTGATGTACGAACTTTTCTATAGGTAACTCAGCATCCTGAATACTATGTAGGGTGGTTAGGATTTTTGGAGGTATAAAATGTTTAGGATATTTAGGATATCTAGGTTATATAGAATATTTAGCATGTTTAGGGTTTTTCGAGGGATAAAATAATTAGGTTTTGGTGGTTCAGGATATTTGGTATATAAGTAGCGTCCATCGTTCTGATTCAGGTATCCGTTGTCTGGGGAGGAATAGCCAATGTCAAATTGGTTGTATGCATTAAAATTATTGTCGTTTTTGGTCACATTGCTGTCTGAAGATGATTCTTAGCTGCAAGGTAGTACTATGACAGTTCTGACGTTCATCGTTGTGCTTGGATGGTAACATATAAATGCGGCATATAGATGCACAACAAAATTTACCACTTTCTCTACACTTACCCTCATTTTCCTTTCGTTTCTCAGAAGTTTTCTCGGGGCACACAACACGCAATGTGCTCACTACTCTCACTACTCTAAATATCCTAAGCATCGTAAAAATGCTAAATATCCTAAATATGCTAAATTTCGTGTATGTGCTTTAGGTTATCAGTAGGGTAGTAGCTGTTTTATGCGAATGTATTGATTGGTCGAGGCTGAACTTGCAGCAAGTGTGATTTCTTCATTAAGTCAGATGATGCGATTTTTAGTACATTGGTAATTAATTTCTTTTTTCTTAAGCTGGTACGTTTATGGGGATGCAGCTGATAAATGTACCAAAATGTATTTTTAATAGATGGTAAATACATGTTTCTAATTTTGATTCAATTTTAATGATGAGTAACAAATGGATTGTCCTAACTATAGATATATTGCCGTTTTTTTCTACACTAGAATCAGTAGAGCAATCATGCTGTTATTCTATCTATTTGTTTTTGTTCTATTACCATCCTATATTGATTGTGGTGTTTATTGTACAAGAAATCGTGTACCAAGATTGTGGACTAAAGCTCAGCTAGCTGACGATCATGATCAATTAGAATTTTATATTTTATGTAAACAAGAACCAAACTCAATAAAACAATTGAAAGCATTATTTTGGAATCGAACAGATCCCACACATCCCGATTATCAGCAATGGTTCTCAAAAAGAGAGCTACAAAAATTAGTTCAATCCACCTCTCAGTGTTATCAACAAATACTTCAATGGTTATTAAAATCTGTACCATCCGAACATATAACAAAATATCCTGATTGCTTTAAAATTAAAACATCCCTCAACAATACTAGAGCGTTATTTCAACAAAACACAGAATTTTATACATATACACATACAACAAATAAAAATGTATCATTAATCCGTTTATATGGTGATTGTCATATTCCAGATGATACAATAGATTCTATTGATCTAATATTGGGTATATATGAATTTCCACTTGATACTAAAAGGAAGAGCCGAATAAACGGAATTTTCAATCTAAATGGGACGGTACCATTATTGGTAAATAATACTTTAATAAAAAATTCTGTACCTTTTCCAGCTCTACCAACACCATTTGATTTATTTACAACACAATTTATTCTCGATTATTACCAGATACCAAATGTCACATGTCAAGGTTTACCTCGTAATGTATCTCAAGGAGCTATTGAATTCGCAGGTGAGTATTATACAGAAGAAGATTTACAAATTTATTGTGCGTTGGCAGGTATTCCATATAAACCATTGGAGAAAAAACATATTATTGGTACAAATGATCCAAATGATCCAGTTGTAACCGATATTACAGAAGCAGCACTAGATATTCAGATACTGGCTAGTATTAATCCAAAAGCAGATAACTGGTATTTTGATACTGATCCAAATGATAATACATGGTTATATATATTTACAATGATAGCAAATCATTTAGATCAGTTACCCCAAGTAATGTCAATATCATGGGGCTCAGATGAAGGTTTTGATTGTGTTGGAGACGAAGATTGTGATACATTTGATACATCACCGAATAGAGAAACAATATTTATTGAACGCGTTAACATTGAATTTATGAAATTAGGTTTAAGAGGCATATCAATTATTGTTTCATCAGGTGATGATGGTGCTAATGGTGATATATTAGGTAATACTTGTGCAGCTGCAAAATTCTATGCTGATTATCCAGCATCATCACCCTATGTAACAGCAGTAGGAGCTACGGCTTTAAAAGATCAAAAATATGATCAATTAAAAAATACACCACCCATATGTTCATTAAACACAGCATTCTTCCATTGTGTTAGTGATGGTAAGGAAGTAGCTGTATCCATTAGCCATGATGGTTTTACAAGTGGTGGTGGTTTCTCAGATTATCAACAGCGGCCTAAATATCAAGAAAAAGTTGTTCAAGAATATTTAAAAGAACAAAAATGTCAATTACCACCATCGACTATGTTTAATCAACATGGTCGTGCTTATCCTGATTTATCAGCACTTGGTGATTATACTTTTACTGTAGCCGGTAATCTAATATTTTCTGTGGGTGGTACAAGTATGTCAGCACCATTATTTGGTGCTATTGTATCAATATTAAATTCCTATTCATTAGAATGCACAGGTAAAACATTAGGTTTTCTTAATCCTCTATTATATTTTATGTATGAACAAGAATCAACAAAAATATTTAAAGACATAACTGAAGGTGATAATAGATGTACAGAGACAACATGTACAGAACAATGCAAAGGATTTTTTGCAGCCAAAGGATATGATCCTGTTACCGGATTAGGTACCCCCAAAGTAGAAGAAATGATAAAATTTATACAAAACTTACATAAAGAAAAAGGAAAATTGGAAAAAGAAAAGTTGGAACAAGAAAAATATTTAACGGAATTGATTAATAAAGTTATTGATCGACAATCCAATAAAAGAAGAAAAGTGCCAAAATCTGAAACATTTTTTAAAAAGGTTAAGTTTTCTTGAAATAGATTATAATGATTTCCATACAAAAAACGGGTAAAGGTATAAGTTATTATTAACGGACAATATTTCATATTGTATAAAAAACGTTTTCTTTCTTTATTTCATTAAACTAACGCTTAGAAAACCGTGGGATCGGATCCATGCTTTCGGAATCGGATGTAACCCATCGGAACCCGGATCGAACGATTCCGATGATCCCGTTCGTTCTAAACTTTTTATTAATCCAAACTACAAGCAGGAATAAATCCTTCGAAGCTTTCCAGTATTATCTAAGAGCGCACTCGATCTCACGAGGGAACCTCGCAAGATGATATTTCGCTTTTTGATCGAAATCTGGTGGATTATAGGTTATCGACCATGCTGATCCCGAATATGACCATGAAGGTTGCCCATAGCCCTTCAAAGATCCGATCTTCTAGAAAACCAGTTTTTCACAAACTCTAGAAAATAACCCAAACCTTTCTTAACAATACAGGATTGTAGCCCGCAAATGTCTAATTAAAATGAGACATCTCCCAGCTCTATATGACCTTTCTTTACAAAGTTATAGAATTTATAACAAAAGCCCTAAATTAATTATTTCTGTAGCTTTGAGGTAACTATCAACTATCAACAATAAGCCACTAGATAAATTCATCATGAAAAAAGCTTCTATTAAAATTACTGGTTTCTACAGTTTTTGTATGTCTTAATTCTGTGAGATGAAGGCTATAGACAGTTTCTGGTGTCTGAGGATCTGTTCGCCTGTACTCGATCTTCCGAGGCCTGTGTAATTCGCATATTTCGTATTCACTGGTGCGATCTGACACATTTTTCAACTTTAAGGTCGAAAATATGTACATATGTATGTGATTATCAAAGCCGTTTTGTTTACTAATAAGCATCCGTCCAGTAAGGGACGAGCGTCTCAGAGATGAGCGTTATTAGTTATTAGTTTCTGTGCTGTGAACTATCTTCATCAGAAAATAAGTAAGACTGTATAAATGGTGCAAGAACATTACTGACTGGACAAAAATTATAAAAATGAAAATAATTTTATAATGACGGTACGACAGCCCAGATCGACTGTCACGCTGAAGTCACGACGCAGCTCGCGATAAAAAGTCGCTGCGCGATCGCTAAGTTTCTCGCGAAAAAAATCGCGATTATCATTGATTGATTCTCTTCATTCGTATTGCCGCGTAGCGATCGCGGTTCATTCGCTATTGTCTCGTCGTCATCGTACAGAAATCGCGATATCATAACGAGAGCATATTCGAGTCATGTTTACAGCTTTGTTTCAACATACAATTAAGTTCTATCGAACTTTTTGTAAAAAACATAAAACTAAAAGGAAGAAAAGGAGTTTTTAGTCTTTGTTTTAATTCAGATATGTTTAGCACAACTGTATTATACTCTTCTTCTCTTCGGTCATCAGCTCGTTTGTGCTAACCATCGAAATTACTTTTTCTTTTCACAGTATATTTACAAATAATTGTTGAAATAATCTTTTTATTTTCTTCAACGTGATTAATGTCAAAAAGTTCACATATTTTTATCTGTAAAAGTTTACATTTATTTTATTTTGACCACTATAACTAGAGTAGTCGTCAACATGATAACCTTTGTAGGACTACCCGTTTCAGAAAGCTGTGAAAGCAAACTGATGCGAAGGTCGCGCGTAGATTTTTCGTTAGTTTTCTCAAACGGACGTCTGATCTACACTAGGAACCGTCCGTATTCTGGACCAAACATGTCTGAAGCAATGTTTGAGGTCTTGTTGAACAGTCATGGCAGCTATAAACCAAAGAACAATAACAAACCAAAGGGCGTCTCTGAAAGCATTGAGAGACGGTTTTGATACTGTATGCGCATCAGGGTCTGCGAGACCAAACTTTTTGAGCACCGGTCCCCTAGAAAAAACTTGTTTTTGATCTTACAATTATGTGCCATTGATGGTTATACAGAGAAGGGTTGTTATATATTAAAAGGTTAGTGGTTGTTATATATACAAGAGGAAACAAGCGAACATAAGATAAGACAGATCTAAATGATAAGCTCGAGTACCACTATCCTTCGTTTCGAGATCAAAGTTTCTTGAATTAATGCGCCTTGTTGGCCTCTGAAGGAAATTCAGTGGAGCGAGATGTGTGTAGCTCATGTTGTTCAAGAATTGTTTTCATGACAATATCTGATTAATGCAATGTGGCGATCTGGTGTCGGTAATCGATACTACGCTCGCAATTCATCCAGCTTGGTAATCAATTTCAAGAAAAGAAATCAAATTTTCAATTGAAAAGTTATTCAAAAAAACAACCGTCTGCCTTCCTTTTTAAAATGAATATTATTACCTGTATCAATAGCGCCAACAGCCTCTCATTCAAATCGACATTTGCCAACATATTGTGCCTCGTACGGATAACTATTTTCAGTATCAATGCTTCGATTATCCTTCATGTATTGATACGATGTATCTCTATAATCGACGTTACATCCCTGATCCTTGTCGCTGAACAATCAATCAAATTTTGTTCGGAAAGCAAAACTAATTTCTTGTATGTTTTCGCATGTTGATCTTCAAGCGCTCTTGTAGTTGAAAATACCTAACATAACCCTGATTTTTAAAACACATTACTTTTACTTTCATGATGGTCTAACAGATAGCTACATCGGCTTGCTTACTGCACTGTCCTGGATCTTTTACATCAGTAGCATAACTATCTTTTTGCCACTTTTAAAACGAATCAAGTTATGAATATTGAGGGTGAAAAATGAAGAAACTCTTACGAAGAGCTGCTCGAAGTTTACAACTAGATGGTGAAATGAATGTATGTCTGTCGAAATTTAAAGATAGATGATGTGTTTTCAAGCTGTTTTCAGAGTTCTTTCTCCTTCGGACTATAATAAAGCGAGAGAAGCTAGGTAGCTAAAGATTTGAAAGAAGAAAAGCGATCTCTACTCCGTATTATTTTTATTCTATATGAATGTTGACCAATATCACCTTCTAAATTATGTTTTTCAATTAAATCAATATTTTTCTTCTATATACCAAGAGTTATATTCTTAAATAACTCTCATTTTGACAAAAATGCACGGTACGTATCAATAATTAGAAATGATAATACAAGCAGAACTTTCATTAATTTTTAATTAAAAAAAGGCGAATGACAGAAAAGTAGGAAGAGTGCTATTATTTTATTCATTTTTATCTATTAGTATACATCATATTTACCTCTGGTAAATTTTTTCAAAACAACTTGTGTTTAACATACCGAATAATATTTGATATAGCATTTCTCCGAATATACAACTATCCATTTCAAAATATAGTGTCCTCCGATATTTTATGAATAACTTTTGAACAGAAAGAGATGGAGATACTTTAAAAACGTCTCAAATATAGAGCGACTTCTTCTCTTTACATCTGCACAGGTCCCAGATCTCCATCTGCCGTGGTTCAGAAACTGCAGCGGTTCTCCGAAGACCTACCTATCAGACGATCCTTAGCCAGGGAAATCTTAAAAGTATATTTAGACATAGGTTATCGACTATGCTGAATCTCGTGGCAATGTTAGTTTTTAGAACAAAATGCAACAACCGGGTGAAAACCTATAATAGGTGAAGTAACCCATTTTTGATTATTTTCATCAAAAACTAAAAAATTCATAACTCAGTCAAAATCCATCCAACCTACTTCAGAATGTCAGGAAAT